CCTTCTTTTCATGCCGATTTGGGTATAATTGATGCTAAAAATACTAGGATTGTGTTGGGGTTAGGTTAACTCTGATACCAAATGATGTTGGAGTTATCCCAAACCACATTGGAAAAACAAATATTATTATTGAAAGCAAATAGGCAGTTATAACCAACGAACTTGAAAAAAGAACACAATGACAAATGCGACACGGTGAAATATAATATAATAACATGACTCATGACACATGACTAGGGCAAATCCCGGGATGGTGGTGGTGATTGGCGAGGGTTAGGATAGTAGTAGAATGGTCAGCGAGCAGAAAACAGCAAGTCAACGGTTTCCCAAATTCCAGACAGCATATACGCAACAGATATCGACGTGTCACAGTTGTCGGGAATGATGACGGAAAAGGGGGAGGGCCGGACCACAACAGTGGCAGCGACGATGGAGGCTGGAAAAGGGCTGTGCGTACGGAGGGCTGGAAATAGTGGTTGCAGCAAATGAGAATTGCTGGAACAGCGATAGCAGCAAGGATGAAGAACTGGAACGGCAATGGGAAATGCAGTGGACCGTCGGACAGTTAAAAGAGGGCTGTCTTGGGTAGGGGCAGCAAGGAGAATGGCTGGGCACGAGTAAACAGCAGGAAAAGAACAAAAGGTGCTGTTGAGGCAGCCTGTAGCGAGGAGTGTGCGGCAGCGGAGCGGGCGCGATGCGGAGTTGGGGAAGGATAAACACCACTTGGACAAGATACAACTGAAGCACTACTTGAAACTCTAAGATACAGTTTTATAAGGGAAGAAGAGATGTCGGAGAAGTGGACCCACACTCCCAATAGGTTGGAAATCCACAAGATCAGCCCTCCTGAACCGGTCTGCGTTGTCATCTCTCACGCCTACTGTAGCGAAGGTCGCGGATGCCCCCTACGGGATGGCTCCCGTGTCACGGTGGATTTAGATGACTATCAAGTAATCATATATTTAATATTTTGTCCCCCTGCGTTGTTATATCTACTGCATTTGATTTTTGGGGCATTTACATGCATAACACACAATTCCTGTGTATTTACATATCTACTGCATTTGATTTAGGGGCATTTACATACATCACACCCAATTCTAATGTATTTACATATCTGACGTATAAACTTTACTTTTCACATGTATACCACCCAAATCTTTTAAATCACATAAAAAATACTACCATTCTAACTTTTAAAAAGTGAAACACGCCTTTTAATGCATGTTGAGATGATTATGTAAAAAATTGAAGTTTAGATTATGTAAATACATCGGAATTGAGTTGTATGCATGTAAGCCTTCCTTTGATTTATCAACCTAGTGTTCTTGCTCTTTACTATTATCTTAATAATTTACCTTTACTGGGATTCTTGTGACAGGAAATTTGTTATGGTTCTAGGAAGCGACCTTCCACATTTTATGATATTTTGAAGGTGAAATAATCTATTGTTTTATGTTCTGCGGCATGGGTTGATCAAGCTAATCAGCTCATCCACGTAGTTCTTTCCAGGTTCAACAAACATTATGATTATTGTATGAATGCCTGTTTTTTCTATAAAATTAGAGCTCAAACCCTGTACTTCTTTTTTAAATAAATAAATTGTCAGAATTATCTGCTAGAATCTACTCGAAATAACCTCTCAAGCCAGATGTAATGAAATGTCAGATGCTAAAATTTGTCAGATGTTGGATAAACTACGACCAATGACTTACTTTTTACCTATTTTGCTGTGTATTTTCCTATTGTTATGGGGACATTTGAGCAAATTTAATCGCAAACGCACGTGCACCACACGCGGCGCACATGCATATGCAACCCTAAAAGAGGAACTCCAAAATTGTTTATTTATTCAAACATTTACCAGAATATAGTCCTTTTTTATTTGCTTTTCAAACTTCATTTAATTCTCCTAATAATCACTTGAAATGATTTGTTTCTTTTCTTCTTCGCAGCATCGAGTGTATTTATCTTGGTCTTATCAGTTGAGCATACAAGAAAATGTTTTTATTTAATATTTTCTTAATGCAAGACCTAAAATAAAAAACTCTTATCTTGCAGAATTACAGGATTTTCATTATTTAATATATGACATTTCTTCTATTGATTCATTTTCTGCAATTTTAATCTAATGTTATGTAAGGCATGCCATCTATTCGCAATTCTTCAAAGTGGCTTGCGTTTTAATTTTATTTTTAAGCGTAGCCCTAGTTTTAGAATGGTTTTTGCGAGGATCTTGGCTACTTAGTTGGTCTCTATTATCTCAGATTAGTAAGGACTTAACTCTTTTAACAAACTAAGTGGATTGGCCTTTAACTTGAATCCTAGTTCAATCTTCTTTGTTTGGTCAATTTAATAAAATAGATTGGTCTTATGCCATGTTTAGGCAATCATAAGCTAATTAACACCAAGTTGATTTGAACTTAGCCGGTTTAGTTGGAACTCATCGACATGCTTCTGTAGGGTCAACTTTTAGTACGTCAACAACTCTTCTCTTTGGCTAGAAACTCTTCTTAGGCCTCTTAACTCGACTCGCTCTTGAGGACTCTTTAGTTGGTGCCTAGCACTATATGTTGATCTCCTAACTTCTTATCACTAGAATTCCTTCTGGCTGAATACTCATTGACTTCTCTTGAAAAGTCTTTCTTCTCGACAACTTGCTTGATTCTCAGTTTTGAGAAGTCTTTTCTTTTGACGAGTTATCGGCGCCTTCCTCGAAGAAGTCTTCTCATTTAATGAATTCTCAATATCTTTTTTCAAGGAACCTACTTTCTTAGTGCCTTCTTTTCATGCCGATCTTCGTTAAAGACTCGTCGCCTAATGGCACCCCATCTTGGTGCTTAGGACCATCTTTTCCTGAAGACACCAGCTAATGACATGATGCTTGGTGGCATATTGCCTTGGTGTTAGGTATTAACTTCTTGACACCATCATCATCATTCCATGTCGACTCTTGGCTAACAAATTCCTACTTTTAGGCATCCTACTATAAAAGGCGGAATTGTAGGAACAAATAGACTCTTATGAATAACTACTCTTCTTTCTATTAGACTTTTTTTAAAAAAATATATTTTCATGATATTTCTTGTATTCTCTTTTTTTTTTTTTCTCATGAGAAATAAGAATGAAACCTAATAATGTAATATTTTATTTTTCAAATAAAATAAAATATGAGAATGGTAGGCTCCATTTTTTTATGAGGAAAAATAGGCTAAATTTGTTCCATTCAATCCAAAATGGTGGTGGGGATCTGGATGGAACCTGTGATACGATGTGGCCTATCTCAAATGGCTAATCTTCTATATTTAATTAGCTCTAAAATAAAACTAGGTGGATAGAGGAAAGTTTTCCAATGTTTCACGAGTTAATTGGCATGCATATTGATTTTGTTGGCTCATTATATTGAATTAAGGATGCCAATCTAGCCTTCTTTTGAATAATCAAGTCGGGCTAACCAAATCATAGAGGCTCACTTTAATGCTGAATTATGGAATCAGTGCATAGCTTCTTGCTTGATTTTATTTTAAAGGGTTGCAGCTCTTCCAAAAAGAGGTTCTAAAACTGTGATCAAGAAAATAATATTTTAATGGCTTGCCGTTGGAATAATATATATATATAATTCGAGAGTTAATTTTCTTACGATCGTATGTTAACAAGATATGTGTACAGAAATTTCTAGAAAATAATAAGACAGAAGTTTCACAAATAAAGTTGTGGTGGCAATCTAAAACGAGGAGGCCAAAAATTGTCTCATATAGACTCTTAGTTTGTATGTAAAGCAAAAGTGGTTTTGAACAAGTAATGAAAAATTAAAATTTCTACAACTAATGCTTCGGATGTGTGGATGGGTATAAATTCAGTATTATTGAGTTCATGTAGTTATTTTATCTCAATCAAGCTAGTGGGTAAATTTAAATTTAAATATAATTTTGGTAAATTTTATAATTATCAGATTTATTTCATTAATAAATGCATTATAAATTTAAATAAATTAATATATATATATATAATTGTGTGAATAAATTATTATTGACCCGCAACCCTGCATTTCTTTATTTCAAATCACCTAATTTATTTATTGAAATTGATAAAAAAAAAAGAATTAATTTTTCCTATGTATTTAAATTTTAATTTTTATATATAAGTCATTTTATAGGCGTATTAAAAGATGTATTTTATTTTTTAAAAATTTAAAATAATTATTATATTTTATATGTTATGAAAGTTTTAGGCGGCATAAATATAAAAATAAAATTTAGATATTAGATATCTAAAAATATAGAAAATGGGTGGTATGCATCTAAATTCCCCTTAATTTCTAGAGACATCTACACAGTGCAGGACGAAACGATTCCCGTGTTCCTTGTTTTGTCTGGCCTACGGCTCTGCTCAAACGAAACATCAGCTGAGGCAAATATCTCGGAAGGCTAACATTTGAGAGCGAGAGAGGGAGAGAGAAGGCGGAAGGAGCAATATCATGTTCGTGTGATTAGATTTGATCCGTTGTTCGCATATTAGGTTTAGGGTTTTTCTGGTTTGCAGGAAAATGGCGATTTATGTGTCGGGGAAGATGAAGAGGAAAGATTTTGATGAGGTCTACGGCGATTTCTCTGATTCATTGATTTCTGCGCCGGCTACGAAGATTAGGAGGCTGGTAATGCTTCTCTTTTACATCATTCCTTCTTTCATGGTTTCTTAACTGCTTAAGAGAAAAAAAAAAGTATATATTAGACAGCAATGTGAAGTTTGACTGTTTATTTGAACCATATATGAGGATTTAGATTTGTAGATTTAGTTGTCCGTTTTTTACTGAGGTTTCGCTGCATGGAGGATGAGATTAAGAGGATCGGCACTGTAGGATTATAGGCTTCCTTTACAATTCACTAATATGTGGTGGATGATGGAGGATTTGGATATCTGCAGAGAGATATCTGCCTTTAGAGAAGAAGAACGTCGTGTTGGAGCCTTCAAGAGAACAATAGCTGGGTTTACTTGGCGAGTTCTTGGATAGGGGTGAGTGGTGGAGGGGCTTTCGTAGGATTTGTGAGCGAGACCAATCATATTCATCTGTGCTTCCCATATGCTGGGGCATTGGTAAAGGAATAAGAGGGATAATTCAACGCTTTTTTTTAGGAGATTCTTGTTGTGACATTGCTGTCTCATACCTTAACAACTGTTTAGTTGAGTTGACAGTACAACAGGGCGATTCTGGCCACGGGGTGCACAGCGCTCTGTGGTTCAAATTCCATACTCTTTTATAAAAGCAAATGGGCTAGAATGGTAGTTTTTTATCTTTAAATTGTCGGTGAATCCCCCTTGCTGTAGGATTTCTTTGGTTGGATGTTTCAATAAGCATGCATTACAGAATCGCTAAGGGTCGTTTGGTTGTACGTAAATCAAATGTATTGAAATATTTTTGTTTGTTGGGCATAGGATATTTCTCAAACTCTCTGCGTTTTTCTCTCTCTCTCTCTCTATTTTTTTTGCTGTAAATTTAGATCCATTCTAATCTTTCTAGGTATTCATTTATATCAATTCTTTTTATTATTATTAGATATCCATAATCAATTTAAAGCTTATTAAATGTTCATACAAAATCAGTTTTATTCTCTTAGGCAAACATGTGGATTAATTCTAATCTCGTTAGAAAGCCATAAGATCTTTAGATATAATTAGCCATGTAAATTGATTTTATTGTAGATACTCATGTGGTTTAATTGTTATATATTTAGGGAGCCATGATCTCTCTTTAAATTGACATGTAGACCAATTCTAATATCTTTAGATAGCCGCATAAACCAATTCCAACCACTTTAGAGAGGCATTTATATCAACTTTGAGCTGTCTCTCTCTCTCTCTCTCTCTCTCTCTCTCTCTCTCTCTTTTGGCCAGTATAGATTGTCTTAAATTGCTTTAGATGACGTTGTATATTGATTACAATCATTTTATATGGTTATATAGAGCATTTATTTCTTATTCATTTTGACCAGATCATGAAAATCTGTATGTCTTGATATAAGCTTGATCCAAGTTATTTAATTTCAAATAAGGCGACATGGCCCTTATTTTATTTGATGTCCTTGATACATTTCTTTCTTATGAATTGATCTCAATGGAAGGATATATGTTATGTGTTTTCTTGATCAAGGCTTTTCAATCAGCTGTGTAGAATGTATTTGCCAGCAACATATGGCCTTCCTCTATGAAGCATTAAGCTGGGCTCCATCACTACAGAGAGGAAACTCATCGGAGATGTTCATTGCCAATGCTTAAATGAGAACTACTGTGAGTTTCTCGTGCTGGGCTTATTCAAGATTGAGAAGTTCCTTTGTAGATGAGAGGAAAGAGTCTTATACTTTGACTTGTTAAGATTAAGGGTTTTCCTCAGAGAAGAGGGGAGAGAGGGAGCTTTCAAAAGGAGAGTTAAAGCGAAGAGCCATAGAAATTCCATTGTACTTGTGTGGAGGTAGTTATACATGTATTAGAAAGAATTTTTTTGCTCATATGCCAAGTGAGTAGTCATTAGGCATTGCCTTTAGTGATTTTAATATTGTTAATAATAAAAACGTTTCATTTTTATCATTGCATTAGTAAAAAAGAAGCTGAGGAGGCTCTTTAAAGAAAACCGAGGCTTTAAAGAAAACCGAGGGTGGAAAGTCTGTAGGATCTGATGATATCCCAATTGAAGTGTGGAAATATTTAGGAGATTCGGGAGTTTCTTGGCTTACTAAACTCTTTAATATTAAAAACTGAAAAGATATCTGAGTGGAGGAAGAGTAATTGAAAATAGGTTAAGACGTATTACATAGATTTCTCATAATTAATTTGGACTTATGTCGGACAGGTCTACTATGGAAGCTTTACATATATTGAGAGGTTTGATGGAGAAGTACAGAGATAATAAGAAGCATCTACATTTGATTTTTATTGATTTAGAAAAAGCTTACGATAAGGTTCCAAGAGATATCCTTTGGAGAGTTTTAAAGAAGAATGGTGTTGATATGACTTATATTCAAGTCATTCAAGAAATGTATACTAGAGTTGTTACTTGTGTTTGAACTTAAGGAGGATAGACCAGATATTTTCCTATTTCTATTGGATTACATCAGGGATCGACTTTAAGCCCATATCTTTTTCCGATCTATATCTTTTTGCTTTAGTTATGGATTGTCTTACTGGACATTTACAGCAAGATGTACCTTGGTATATGTTTTTTGCTGAAGATATCCTTCTTGTGGATAAGACGAGAGAAAAAGCCTAGGAAAAACTTGAATTATGGAGGTCTACATTGGAGTCTAAAGGCCTTCATCAGAGTAGAACTAAAACTGAATACATGGAATGTAATTTTAGTAGTAGTAGCTCTAGTGACAGAAGTGTAACTTTGGGTGATCAAATTATTAAAAGGTGTGAATGATTTAGATATCTCGGGTCTGTTGTTCAAAGCGATGGTGATATAGATGGGGATGTTAAGAGTAGAATTCAAGTTGGTTGGTTGAAGTGGAGGAATGCGTCAGGCCTTTTGTGTGATAGAAAAGTACCGCTTAGACTGAAAGGAAAATTTTATAAGACCGTGGTGATACCTGCAATGCTCTATGGCGTTGAATGTTGGCCTTTAAAAGAGGAGCATAATACTAAGTTATGTGTTGCCGAGATGAGAATGATTAGGAGGAGGAGTGGCTTTACACAGAGACAAAATGTGAAATGATTATATCCGTGATAGGGTTGGTGTATTTCCAGTGACGGACAAAATTAGAGAGAGTCATCTTAGATGGTTTAATCGCATCGTCAACCTTCTGATGATCCGATCAGGAGAGTAGATGTTTTTTATTTGACTTATGTTAAGAAAGGCAGTGGTAGACCTAGGAAGACTTGGGCTTATTTTATAAAAAATGATCTTAATTTATTATAACTAAATGTAATAATGATACTAAATAGGACGCATTGGAGAAAAAAGGATTCATGTAGCCGACCCCACGTAGTAGGATTAAGGCTTTGTTGTTGTTGCTGATTTGACAGTCTCATCTTCTTCTTCTTCTAGCCACCTTGGATCGAAAGCTTGGATCTCGAAGGACCATCTTAACCATCAAGAGCACAATCCATTCTCCGAATTTGAAATTTATGATTTTTTGGTGTAATTGGCCATTCATAATGATGTGCCATTTGAGAAATATATTTGGGAAACTCTTATGTGGAAAGGATCCATGATAAAAAATGACAAAAAAAGAAGCATTTTCTATTACTTTCAGTGAACTGTTTGATAGGTTCCACTTCTGGCTTTTCATGTGTCAAAATTTAGTCTCGAGTGGGTTTTAGATTATTCCAGATTGCAAGTTTTAAATGATGTGTCAGTGTCTTTAATTAGCTGGGTTTGTTATTAATGATATTAACTAATGATTTTTTATCTTTCTACTTTTTTCTGCCTGCTAAAACAGCTCGCACCATATTTTTAAGTTGATTTTTTGTCTTTCTTAATTTATGCTTAAGGATGTTGAATTGCCTCTGATCGCGGAAAATCAAGAACCAATTTTTCCCTCAATTCTTGGGAAAGAACGGCCCGATGAGGAAATGTCTAGTGCCGTGATGGATGTGCGGTCAGGATTAATCGAAGCTGTTTCGCCTTCCACCTTAAATGAAGAAAGAGCTCTGGTTATGTATCATCCTCCAGATGCTCACATGGCCTCTTATTTTAAAATTAACCCAAAACTGATCTCTTGCCTCAAGAGTAAGCTCCTTTATCCTTCTCTTGTTACATTTTTTTTATTTCTTTGTATCTGTATTTTTGTTTTAAGCATTCTTATAGCCATCTTCATGCTAATATTTTGCCACTCAATTATCTGTGTATTTACATATCTAACTCCAATTTTTACATACATGCCACCTTTCCAATGCATGGAAAAGGTGTATTTCATTTTTTAAAAGTTAAAAATGGTAGTTTTTTTTCGATGTGATATAAAAGATTTAGATGCCATAAATGTAAAATAAAAGTTATAGATGTCGATATGTAAATACATTGGAATTGGGTTGTCTAATTTCCTGTAGCACATATTGAGATTATTGTGAGTCCTTCATTCTGCAAAAGGAAAAAGATTTAAGGCTTCTTTTTCTTTTGCTCTTTGTATTTCCTTTTCATGAATTCTTTGTTATTAATTCCATAATTCATGAATTCTTTTCATGTTATTTTTAAGTCATTGAGTCCTTCATTCTGCAAAAGGAAAAAGATTTAAGTCTTCTTTTACTTTTGTTCTTTGTATTTCCTTTTCGTGAATTCTTTGTTATTAATTCCCTAATTCATGAATTCTTTTCATGTTTTTTTAAGTCACTTTAGTGCTGGTTTAAATTTTGTAGATTACACATTCTGGCCAAGGAACCCAAACATGCTGGTTGAAGAAGAGGTTGAGGAAGAGATGCAATCACCTGCTAAGAAATGTCTAGCTGTGGTTCCTTGGGTTCCACCTCATGCCGACGTAACTCGACAAGTAATGGAAGCCTTCGCATCTGGAAATGAGCCGAATGAAGAACCCATGGAAGCCGAAGACGCGGAAGCGACTACAAATATGGAAATTGAAGACGAGAATGGTGTATCTGATATTTCTGGCATTGGAGTTCAGGCCAATCAGCATTGGAAGCAACATTGCATGACTCCACAGCTCCCGCAGAGCAACTCCACTGTAATGTGGTCATGAAATGTTCTAATTTTTTTTGTTTGGATGATTTACATACATATCACTTAATTCCCCATGTAGTAAATAGTTCTAACACCCAAATTTCAATTTTTATATTCATACCACCTTACCTATGCATGAAAATATGTATTTGGCTTTTAAAAATGCTAAAAATGGTGGTGTTTTTTTATGTGATATGAAAGATTTGGGTGTTATAAAAATATAAAATGTAAAATTTTGATGTTATATGTGCAAGTACATGGAAATTGGGTGGTATGTTTGTAATTGCACCCATTAGATTAGCAAAGCTTCTTTAATTTAAGAGAGAGAATTAAACTGGAACAATTTTTGTACAGATCAAAGATCTACAACTGAGTTGATTGAAAAGGTTTTATAGATTCAGGATATGATAACCATTTAGTGAGTTTTCAGTTTGTGTAGTTCAACTACTTTATATTTCTCCATGAATGTTTATAGAAAATGTCTATATTTTAAGGAACAGATGGAAATTTGTATTTATATTATGTAGATTTACATCTGGCTCAAATATTTGTATTTATATTATGTAATGTGTCGGTTGATTTGATTATCAATTACCCATTAATAAGCCAATAAGGAAAAGATGGCTTTCATCACTGATAATAGATGATAATATTATATGTTGTATTTTATGTTAAACTAAACTATCTTGAGTATTTTAGCTTTGAATGATGGGTTGTGTATTTAAAATGCTAAAAATATGGAATATATAGAACTAAGTTGATTACTTGCTATTTAAGCATAACCCTAGCACTAACTCGTCTTGGATGTACATAATAGATGTTTATGACTTTGATAAAATTATATATGCATTATAATCCTTTGAAATGCTTCCTTAAAACTAGTTTTAAGATATGTTTAAATTAAATCTTGTCAAAGGTCTTGGCATAAATATTCACAATATCTTAAGACTCTTAAGAATTGTAAAGTATTTTTCAGCCAAATGACAAATGTGATCAAGCATTTGATCACCTCAAAATACTTCTCTCTCTCTCTCTTTGAGTACATCTCTCCTAAGTCCAAGACTTGGCGACGATTTACTACCATATACATCTAGTGTTGGTGAAAATTTTTCGATCTATATTTTAATAACATAAGATGAAAGAAAATAGTGTTTGATTTACTACATAGGAAGGAAAAAAATTTAGAAGCAAAGTTAATATATCTTGTTGTGGGTATTAAATTTAATTATTCAGTTATTTCATCCATACTTCCAAACCCATTCAGTAGTCATTTCTAAAGGTTCATTCTATTAAATCTAAATCACTCACTTCGATTTTAGGAGTTTTTTGTAGAGCCTTGTGAGTTCCAAATTACTATATGCTAAGGACTACAATGAAAGCATAGGCATTGGTTGGCTTCTTAATTTAATTTATCTTTGTGATTACAACAAAAATAATTTACTCTAGACTCTTTAATTTGAAGGCCTTTAAAACCTAAGAATTTGTAAGCATAAAAATGTCCATAAGTGTTCCTATTTTCCTACTTTACATGCCATTAATGTTCTCTTTCAAATCACTAATATGCCAAATATAAGACTAAACTTAAAATTTTCATTTTGCTCTCACAATCACCACAAAATATTTAATCATATTTTTTTAGCTCCTAGCTTGTTATGAATTCCTTAATGGGGAATATGAAGTAAGAAAAAACAATCCACACATATCTCTTCAAAGTCAAAATAGAAAATAACATGGTATTTCCATATTTAAAAAAATTCGAGAGAAAAAAAAAATCAATTCATTGTGATATTATCTAAATGTAACACATCATTGAAATAATATATAAGTATCCAAGCAATATAAGCCATAAAAGTAAAAGCCACCTTTAGCTAGGTAGAAACACTTATTGAATACTTAACCTTAAACAATATTTTATACATAATCAAAGTTTAATAAAGTTGATAAAAAAGGCAACTCGCTATTTGTTTTTTTAATGGTGAGCTATTTAGAAAATTCATCACTTCAAGTAAATTATGATTTGTTCAAGAATTATTTATCATGTTCATTATAAGGGTTGTGAAAGTTTTTCAAGAGAAAAGATTATTGTCAATAAAATATTCCAATAAATTTATTTTTGGTTAGCATATTTAACAAAAAGAAGTTAAAATTTTCTCAAAGAGATGTTTTTAATACAAGAATTTTACTTTTTTTGTAACTAAAACATTTTCACTACCTCAAACCAATATCAATTCATAAACTTGAATATTTTCTCACAGTGAGTGGTCTGATAAAGTTATTTCTTATAATAATGATTAATTGCTTCAAAAAAAAAATTTAATTAAACTTTGAAATAAAATTAGCATAGTAGTTACTCATAACATTATATTGATCAACATCATTTGTCAATATTACGTAGGATCATTTGTAACAAACAGTCATTTGAAAATTTTCTACTACTACTACTACTACAACAACAACAACAACAACAACAAAGGTTTATCCCAATAAGTGGGAATAAAAATTTTCTACTAAAAAAGAAATTAAATAGTTATCTCAAAATCACATTAGCTCACCATCCAAAGTTGAATGAACAGCAAACTGCAAACAAGTTGATTTTTAACCTTATTTTCAAAAAAAACAAAATTTGAAGGTGCCAATATCAAATATGTTGAAATATTTAGATCTTTGTGAAGCAATATTTCTAAAGCTAATATTGTTTTAGACATTTGGACAACTCTTCAAAATTTATTATCAATGTTATATAAACCATGCTATTAAAAAAAAAACCCTAAACAATAAAAAGATTGTCTCTCTATCTCACAATATATTTTGAGCATTGTCATTAACATTGGCACCAAATATTTACAAACAGTGACATAAACATACTAATGCCCAAATTAAATCTCAAAATAAATTGACTTGGCAAATAAGATAATTTTCCTACCCCTACATACATGCCTACATATATATATATTTTTGTTCAGAAAATCTTGAACTAATTATCCTATCCCTTTCTCCTTGAGAAATATTACATGTGTTGCAGGTATCTGCAGAGGACGATAAAAGAAAAGAAAAAGTTTAATACATATTTTTTTAGCTTATCCAGATCGTCCTCCGCACATACTTACATTACATTACATGTAATATATTCTTCCCCTCCCCCCACCAAAACCCTAACCCCATTAACTCCCACCATCATTCAATTCTTTGGAAAATCATCATCCAACCAAGCAGGACCTGCATGTTCAAAGTAAAGAGAATCATTATCCATAATCTCATCCTGTGGATTCATAAACTCACAGAACCACTCCTGCCTCTGCAGATCCTCCATAGCTTCCCTGTCGAACACCTTCCTCTCCTTCCCTTCCGGCGTCGCCGCCGTCCCCTGCTCATCTTCCTTCGAAATCTCCGCCATTGGAGGCAGCTCCTCCTCCTCCTCCTCCTGCTTCACCTCCACCCTCTTTGCAGCCCTCTCTAAGGGAAGGAGCTCTAATCTCTTCCGCACTTCCTTCATCTTGAGCTCAATGAGCCATGCAAGGCTTGTCAGGCTCCTGCTTTCTATGCTCTGCAGGTTTATTTTGCCTGCCAGGCCCTGTTGCATCAGAAGCATTGTCTCTAGTTCACGATTCTCTCTGTCCTGCTTTCGAATTTGCTCTTGCAGCTTTGTTATTCTATGCCTTATAAAGCCTACAAAAAAAGAACAATTTTATTGAACTAGAGGGTATATATAAAAGAATAGTTGGAGGCTATTATACGAGTTCTCAGCCACCCTCATGTGTCTAACTATTCAAGGACCCCGGCAAATTGGCCAGAAGAAAATTCAAACACGTAACCTGATAGTACTTAGTACTTTCAAAGAGACTGCTCTCAATAAACTACGGACGGCGGCACAATTCTTTGTATTTACATATATACCATGCAATGTTTACTAGTTACACTTCTAACATCATGTTTTTTGCATGAAAAAGTGTATTTCACTTATAAAAAGGTAATGAAAATTATATTTTTGATGTGGTGTTAAAAATTTGAGGGTATTTTGATGTGATATGAAAAAGTTGTGGTATAAATATAAAAAAAGAAAAAAATTAGTTGTTAGATATGTAAATATAGGAATTGGGTGGTGTGTATGCAATTGTCCCTTTCTTAAGAGAAAAACTCTGAAACAATTTTTTTTTTATCATAATATTAATATTTATAGTCCTCATATTATATCTTAAAATAAGATAGGCAATTTACATGCATACCATGCGGTTCTTTACATATTTACATATATATCCACCACATATATTTCTGTATATACTGACCTAATAATATCTAATCCTTAAATCACATAAAAAAACATCACTCACAATCATTTCCATTTTATAAGCAAAAGGTTTCTAACAATATTGTAAGGAATAAAATGTTATGGTAACAAATATAAAACTAATATGTTAGATATGTAAGATCATGTCAATTATATGAATGTAAATCTCTAAGAAAAGAGAAAATATCACGTTGTTGTATGTGCAGATGATGATGTAGATTCAACCACACCATTTAGCAACTGGTGTGATCAAATTCACAAACAAATGTTACATGTGGTGCCGATCGACCGCATGTCCAGACGATGATTCGGATGAACCCGGCCGTGCAATATACAACGAAATGACAAATATATATAAATGAATGAATAAGCCTTACGGCCATCACCTTCCTGGTTCATCATCTTCCTGCTCTGCTCCATCTCCGGCAACCGGCGGAGCTTGGCGAGAACTCGGTTAGCCTCCTGCGGCGAAGGCCAGACCTCCGGCTGGGACTCGCCGGGCCCATAAACAATGAGGCATGCCTTCACATCGCACAGCGTGCTGAGCTCCTCCACCTTCTTCAACACCCCCTTTCTCCTCTTCTTGAAGGTTGCCCGGCGGGCGGAGCCGTTAGCTATCCATTCCAGCTTCACCTTCTTCCTCGCCATGCCGGACAACAGAGTGTAGGCAGGGGTTTATATCTGCGGAGAAGAAGATGTTGGGGATTAATGCATAAATTAATTGCATGGATTTGAGGGCATCAAATGTGATATATTTGGATGATTTTGGAGGGGCTATTGCGGGGGCTAATTTTGGAAAATTAATGAAAGTATGTATATTTTTGTAATTAAGACTGTATCTGTTCTGTGGGAAGTGTAAGTTAATTGTGGATGAATCTATTTAATTTAACCGGGTTGGCTTATAAGCTAATTTTATTTTTTTAATTAATTTTTTTTAGATTAATTATATATATATAGAGAGAGAGAGAGAGATAGATAGATAAATATATAATTTAAGAGGGAAGTAGAAAAAAAAACTGATATATTGATTAATGCAAATTAAAGATTGTAATTAGAGATGTGATTATGGTAAGATAATCGGAGTAGTAGTTAGTGGTATATTTATTAACATTTATATGGTAGTGTATATGTTGCAGTTGTTTGTGTTTCTGGGTGTACATTTGTTGTACTAATAATTTCCAAAGCTGTAGTTTTTAATTCCTTCTATTAATGCAAAATAAGTTATTCACATGAAAGAAATATGTTGAATCCCTCTTAATATAATTAATTTTATTAAAAAAAAAAAAAAGATGAATAAATTTTTTAGTTTCAAAAGCGGAATAAAAATATTTTAAAATTTTATTTTCATGTTATTTAAGAATTAAGGAGCTGTTTGGCATCAGTTTAATTTTATTTTCTATTTTTTTATTTTTTTTTATTTTGTTCGTATAGTTAAAATGAATAGGTTTGATATGTTATATCACGTTTAGTATTTTTAAAAACATTCAAAATAATTTTTTGAATTTTTAAATATTTTTAAAAACAATCTAATTTGTTTTTTTTTTTTAAATGATAAAAAAATTACGCAAAAAATGTAACGAATATGTTTTTAAAATAAATGTAAAAAGACAACGAAGCCGAAAGTAATCCCAAAGAAATCCAAAGTATTATTTTGGACCATTTAAAATCACTATTAAATAGGAGTGACAAGATCTTCATTATATATATATATATATATATATATATATATATATGTTTCATTTAAAAATAACTCTTACATTCGATTACTAGCTTCGATCAGAAGGAGAACTTACTTTCTTCTTCTTTGTTCTTAATAAAGCTAACACTTTTTTTTTTCTTATAATATTGATGACATTTAGGTGCATAAAAAATCTATTTTCTTGCAACTGAAAAATGAATAAATGAGATTTATTATATCTTATTATTTAGCATCTTTCCTCCAACCTCCATTGCTCAAGCTTTGACTTCATCTTACATATTCTTCAAGGTCAAGAACAAGTTATTGATCTCTTCCCCTGCCTTGATCATCACCTCAAATACACACATGAATGCCACGAAAACTCGACCTCTCCTTAGCTTGGTACTCATCTTTGCCTTTCTTCAATATAAGCTTCGATCAGAAGGGGCGTGTTGGATAGCATCTCACATTTTCATTTTTTTGTCTTTGCTTATATACAACAGGGGACAAAAAACTACATGTTCTTTTTTGTTAACAGCTAATACATAATGGTCAAGTTTATCATTTATAAAACATATATAAACATCATCTAAATTTTATTTTTCCATACTTTTTTGGTTGATTGACAACAATAGACAGCCAGCTTCCCCGCAGCTGCACCAAACAGACAATCAGCTTCCCCGCAACTGCTTCCCCACAGCTGCAGCTGCGCCAAAAAGAGCCTAATATTCATCACTTCAAATTAAACTTGAAGTGTTCTAAAAAGATAATTTTTTTATAAATTTCATGTATCGCACGAGTAGGACATTTGAAGTATCTCCATGCTCACTTGGAAATAAGGCACAAATCCTATTAGTACTAGCGGTTATGAAGAGTCTTAACTTTTATTTAATACAACCTTCAGCTATTTTATATAGAGTAAATTATTAAATAACGTTTTGACATTTTCTAAAATAATCTTTATATTAAATTTTATCAGACTTCATGACATTATGGGCTCATTGCATTTTTGGCTTATTTTCAAAATTTGAAAAGCTTCAGCCGTAAATTTGGCCCAAAAAAGACTGACGCTAAGGCCCATGTAGTTAGTACTTGGACTTTCACTTACATATGAAAACAACAACGCTTGAAGAATTTATTCATATAGTTGGTAGGTCAAATCATTCTAATTTGCACAAGCTGCCTTTTCACAATTTAGCCATCATTACTTAATATAATTCAATTTGTTTTATTTATTTATTTATTAAATTTTAGGGCTATTTGATTTGAGTACAATGGTAAAAGTTTGTAGAGTATAGTTATTAAAATATATTTGAAATATTTTATTTTTATTTAGTTCAATGTAATGTAAGTGTTGGACTTTATTATTATTTTTTTTTATTTAAAGTAAATTGACAATAATACAATAATTTATTCGGGAGGTGAGCAGTAGGCTGCGGCGGGCGATTGGCGTACTTATACTTCTTCATACCAAACACATAATTTTCTTAAATCCCTCTAAATGAGTTACAGTTCACCAAAAATCATCCAAACCAAATAGCCCCTAAATACACCTTTTTAGCAATGAGATTTGATACGTGGTCCACAAATTTATCATTTGACATGAATCTTGAAGCATTTCATAAGTTTAGAGGTAATTTTTTGAACAAGAAGTAATTAAATTTTGATTAAAAATCATATAGAACTTCGATTTTAGCAAACTTATAATCAAGACGGACCCAATGAAACCCAAATTAGCCCAATTCGAGTCAAATGAAGCGAAGATCACGCTGTTTGTAAGTTTTCAGTGCATAATTGGAAGTTTAAACGGATTTCAAATCTAACGACCCTATAGTCAAAATAAGTGTCTTGACAAGACAAATCTAACGACCCTATAGTCAAAATAAGTGTCTCGACAAGACAAATCTAACGACCCCAAGATGTCTCAAATCTGACATTATTTAAGTTTTTAGTCAAATTCAAGGAATTTTTTTATTATATGATAATATATTAAAACATGTTCATAGAAGATAAGTTTCGGGGTAAGCATGCCTTTTTAATAATGTTGATGTTAATGTTGCTAAAGATATGAATAGTGCTGATAGCAATGGAATTGATGATGGTAATAATAACTTAGACATTTAAATACAAATGCTAGCCATGATAAATATATGTGCTGATTATTAATATGGCATGGAACATAATTTTAAATTCATATCACCATTAAATTTGAAATTGCAAACATAATATTTTATTGCATATTTATGATTTTCAAACATTTATGATTTGCATGTAATTGTGAAATATGTTGCAAATGAAATATTTTTTTCATTAATTTGACTCGTATTCATTTAAATTCTAATTCATCACAATATCACCCTTTATAAATAATAAGAAAAATTAAAATTTTGAAGGAAAATTAATATGAAATTCTACTCTATCTCTAACATATATATATATATATATATATATATATATATATATATTGATCGACCCCTTTAATATGAAATTTGATTTTTATTTCCATATAAAATTTATATGTATATTTGTAAATTCTTAGTATATCTAACATCACATTACAATCTTTTCAGGAGATTATTATTATGTGCAGCAAAGCCTATATTGTTTCTATTGCTAATTGTTTGATTTCATTCAGCCATAGAGATGATTACAAACCTATTTAATGTGAAATCATCTTGATAAATGTTATTTAAATGCTATTTTATGTAAATAATACAATACTATGATGTAAGCAAATCAGATATGATTTTTTTTTTTATTTCTTTAGCTTATTAAATATCAATGTTAAGATATTTCAATGATAATTAAATACAAATCACACGAATCAAATCCCTACATAAATAAAATCATTTTTTTTGCACGAAAATCGGCTAGAAAATTCGTATAATTTTTTGAAAATATATGCATTTTAATAGAACTAATTGCTATAAAAGCATGAAAGTAGTTCCACGAACTAAACTATGATGACAGTTTAAATGGCAACACGGACAAAAAGGTGTCGAAGAATCGCCAGAAAAAATTTTGCCCACAATTGTCAACAACAATCAGAATTTCTTTGTAAAAGTCAATTTTGATAAACAAAATTTATCGAAGATTACAAATTAAAAAAAAAATTACTAATTGTAGTTGGTGGGTTGATGGATAGATTTTGTAGTAGGGCGTATTTAAGTTAGGGGAGTAAGTGAGTCAAGCTAAATCATGAGCTGGCTCGAGCTGGGCTCGATAAGTGGCTTATGAACTGAGCTCGATTAGCTAACGAGCCAAGCTCAAACCAGTCCCGACTCGACTTGTTAGCTCGTGAACCGACTCGTTTAAAAGAGTTATTCATATAAAATATACTGAAAATATATTAAAATTTAGAACTTTAACTTTAAATTATTAAAAGTATTTTAAAAATAATATTTTTTTTTATTTTATATTAAGTGATTTCTTTTTATTTATTTCATAATTCTTCATTTTATTGTTATTTTATTATAACGCTAACTTAAATTAATATTATTTTTTTCTTTTTTTATAATAGACCAGTGGGCTTGAACTCGATTAATTAATCAATTTCAAGCTCAAGCAGGGAGTTGCTCGAGCTCGACCTGACTTGTATACTTCCCGAGTTCGAGCAAATGACTAACCCTTAACTATAGCTTTCCTTATAGCTCAAATATAAAAAATTAAAATTTTAAAAAATCCACTAAAGTAACAAATCAATTACCTTACAAACAAGCACTTGCCCTAGCCTAAAATAATAATAATTAAAATAATATTACAAATTTTGTGTGGGGTTACATTGCAAGAAATTAAACATTTTCCTATAATAAATGTTACTAAATAAATTTATAATTTAAAGATGTCATAGTAAATTCAACTAATGCCATAACATTATTAAACAAAAACCAATAATTAAATTAAACAACATTAAGGGCATGTTTAAGGAAAGTTTCTATTTGTTTTGTGTTTCAGACTGTCACCACAGTTC